ATATACGGTATAATAAAGTATTTCATTAAAATAAAATTGTTAAAAATAAGATCATAAAAAGAGTTATTGCTTGCTTTACCACTTTTTATGCAGTGCATGGGAGTGCTGAAAAAAAGTCAGAGAGACTGACATAATGTGTTTTGTTTTTGGAAAACGGTCTCATGTTCTGTCTCCAGAAGTGTACGATTGAACTTTTTCCCCACGGTCCAGTGTTAAAAAAGTATACAAGAATAGCAATAAAGCACACTACCAAATCGCAATACTTAAAAAAATGCAATACATATTGAATTGACACCCGAGTAAAGTGGTTGTATCGAATCGGGAGAAAAGCCTATAGTCCCAGCCCTACTGGATACTCTATCTGGAACAAAACAAACAAACAAACAAAAAAACACTCATGTATGCAAAGAGTGGATTGAAATCAGAAAGCACTCCAATCAGCCATGTTACTCCTAGAGATGATCTGGGTTATACATCTCAGCCAGGTTTAAATAACATCTACCCAACAAACTCAAATGTCACAGAACTCCACCTCCTCCTGCTGACTCAAGCTGTCTGTCAAAAACCTATGAGTCCTCTGCAAAGCCAAAATGAGTAGAGCCCATGCTGCAGTATCCTTTCTCGGCTTTTTTATCCTATGTCATGCTTCATTTTTATGCACAAAACTTTTCTTTTTTGCTTTATATACTGTTTTGTGTTGTGTTTCTGCCTATCCATGTTTTAGGTTGGAAGTTATCCAGCGCTACAGGGCCCAGACTGGCCACATTGCTCATATGCTGTACAAATCAACTCCCTTCAAACAGCTTCATGTCTGCAACAGGGTGGAGCTGCATTTGTAATTGTAATCTTATTTTGTGCACATTAGTCAGTGATTTATGCTGAACAGTTAGCTAAACTGGTTCTTAATTTAAAAGAGGTCATTGTACTTTGTAAATGATTTGTAATTACTGGATTACTTATTATTTTTTTGTAAAATGTGTTCAGATTTAATGATGTTGAATATGGGCTCAGGATAGCAGCTGTTAACAGTTGCTGACAGCTTTAACTGAGAGATTTCAGCCTTTAAAATATTGATCAAACCAACCATTCATTCATCTTACAGCCACCACAGACACAGTGCTTCCTTGTAGTGTTTGATGCAGCTCTGCACAGCAGTGTGGCTTCACGTCAAGCTCCATCTGGTCCTCCCACAAGCGGGGACAGAGAGCCTCAGGAGGGTATCAGTGGGTTTCTGATGCATCATCACAAGCAGAGATGGAGAAGGAAGGATTCAGACAGGGAGAGGATTTCTTGCTCTACTTAGCACACTGATGAGGAGCCCGACCAGAAAAGCATCACCTCCTCGTTCAGAGTGAAGGAACACAACAGCACCACATTACATAACACTGGCTGAAGCACCAAAAGGGGATCTGCACTCTCATGTGCCTGACGTGACTGATTCTAGCTCTAGTGATGGTGGACGTAGGGAGTTACTTTTTTATATTCCAGCCCTCCATCTCTTCTTCTTGCCCAGTGGGATAAATTAAAGAATGATCCTGTTCCACCAGCACTGGGGCCAGCTCAGTGTATCAATAAGCGAGGGGGCTGATGGATCAATGATCCACAGAATAAAAACACACCGGACTTCAGAGGGTTCACAACATCTAACCCTTCTGAAAGAAAAAAAAGGAACAACACACACACACACACACACACACATACACACACACACACACCTCAGCAAAACCTAACATTTGGCACAATCATGTCAGGGATCATCTGGTTTTATGTTAATGTATGTAAGTATGTGTGGGTAGAAAAAAACATCTAAAAAAAGAAAGTGTCTGCTGAGGAGCTGCTGAGGCAGCCGTGAGTGTTTGTTGTGGACGTATGCGGCTGGAGTGGCGCAGTATGCCGGGTGCTTGAGGGTGAATGAAGAGGAGGAAGCCCTTTGACTAATCTCTGGGGAAGATAGTGATCTTACATGCCGGCTGAACACTGTGTGCTTCTAGAGGACTGGTAATATAGGCTCATACAGTACTGCCTGCACCAGTCAGCTGCAACAACAGAAATCCTTATTGAACACAAAATCCATGGACACTTGTTTCACAAATATGAACTCATTCTGACAGACGAAGGTTTAACTACATTTTCACCAATGCCTACATCACAAAATACATTTGTGTTTATATAGTTTCCATGAAAACTTAACCTTGTTACTGTGTGGGCTCCCTAAAAATTAGTTTATACATCATTTATCACATGCTTATTGATAACTGCAATGTGTAATGGGCTAGACTTCACATTACACCCTAACATTTTATTTGCCACATCACACTGCATTCCTGCCATGGAAATTCAGCTGCACACTCATGATCCAGCAAACTGGCAAAAAGCACAACACGGTCTGAGACACCAAGCAGTTCGACACAAGAATGAATCTGATGCCAAGTTCACTCAGAATGCCTGTTGACTGTACGCAACATGTCTGTCACACATCGCAAGTCCTAAAAGAAAAGCTCTGAGCAACAAGCCTCTGTATGTATCAATCTTCAAAGGTCTTCACACACATTATTTTAACATGTGCACTGGATGGCAATTTCACATAAATCAAACCAAAATATACCCCGATGGATGGGACTCACCAGAGGTCATGATACGATATTATTACAATACATAAGTCACGATACAATATTACTGTGATTTTAAATGTGTCGTGATATGCTGAGTATATTGATAAAATATACTGCAATTTCTTACCTTTGTACTAACTATAAAGCATGTCCCTAAATGAAAACTTTGGCATCATCTGTTTTATCTAATAAGATATAGTGTCAGTCTGTTTATCTCACTTTACTGATTTTAATTGCAGCAAAACATATCTTATGGACTGGAAAATTGATTACAGCATTCTAGTCTAGTTCTAGTACCAAAAGCTTAATTTGTATTTGTGTTATTACAATGCGATATTACCAAAACAATATTGCTATACTATGCTGAATCGATCCCCCACCCCTAGAAACCATCCTTAGTTAGATCAAAGGACCAAACATTAGAGATGTCAGTGTAAACACTAATTCAGCAAAACTTACAAAAGACTGAAAACTACACATCTTCACTAAGAAACAGCTCTTGAAACAGCCTTTTTAAAAAAACACTACAGGACACTGAAATGATCCAATAAACTTAATCTAATTCAATTATTTCATAGAGTATTTTGTTTTATGCAGATAGAGCCATACATTATACATACATTACACTTTGAATAATGACTTGGGGGAAACAAACATTGAGTAATTATGTGAATAATTAACACCTGATATTTCACAAAAGCCTAATATCAGCCCATCCTACTAGTCTGCCACTAACACCGACAAGAGGTGCTCTTGCTATCTGCTATGGATGTGTTCCAGACTCATTACAGCATCATAGTAACCAGTGTACAAACTGAAACACGATGCAACCTTATGACAAACAAGTTGCAGTATTAGCACAGAATTATACAGCATGATCTACAAAGTACTGTTTAATCAGCATGACCTAAATAGCCCACAGACCGTTGTGTGACCTTACACAGCAATAAGCCTGTCACACTGTCTCACTGGCCGCCACAAATCAGACTCAAAGAAGGTACACCAAGTCCTAAGATCGTTATTGCTGATGAGACAATAGACGTTAGTCACAAGTACTGAAAAGACGAGGAGACTGATCAACATCCACAGTAAAGTACAGGTACACTTGTTCCTATGGAAGGATCGATTAAACTGGGAATAAAACAGCGGAGGCAGTGTTGCTGGCTGCTAGCCGTGTCTACCGGCGTTTCGTTTCTCCCCACTATAATGGTGACGGTGTTAGCAAACGAGTGAGGTGTAAATCTTTATAAGGCGACTTGCAACATTTCCCGGGATGCTGTGAAAGTTAATGTTACTTATACTGTATACCCTAACTTATTTTTGCCTTCTGCTAACATTACAATTTCCATACAGTAACGTTAGCACAGTAGCAAAGTAGCAGTATATAATAAAATGAGAAGTATCGCAATTGTTAGATGATAGCAAGTTGTGTTAGCTAACTTTGTTACGTGTTTCACTTGCCGGTGTTTCGTTGTAACTACTGATAAACTTTAAAAGACGATATAGTTGCTCTAAATAAACGAACCACTTAACGCTACCTGATAGTATATCAAGGAGGAATCGCACCGGCTAACACATAACCTCATACAGTACGTTGCGCTAAGCTAACAAAACTTAGCACTCAAAGTTAGCTAGCACGGCTAACGCTATCCCTTGCATATGAAGTGATATGGCGGAGGCGATAATGAAATTAACCGACCCCACCGACAATGCTAGCCGACCAGCTTTAGCTTGCTACCCCAGACGTCTCTCGCATTCATCGGATGCTGACCTCTCAACAGCTAACTTAGCACTTTATGCTAACTAGCATTGTGTTCACTTCCAGGACGGTACCATATGTACAAACTCCACGTCCAAAAATGTGACAAATAACGACTGCTTCGCTTACTTGCAACTACAAATACAACGGTGGAAACTCTAGTATCCACCAGGATGCATTTATTTTACATTAAATATCAACTTTCGGAGCCGGTTCATGCTGCTTGGCAGCCGCTCGCCGCGGGGTAACATATTTTGGTGGACACTAATCGGGATATCTCGCCAATCTGTTTTAAAAGTTGATATATTCTAAAAATGAACACGTCTTAGTGTTTTATATTCATGCCGAATGTCAGAGGAGCGTCCCCAGATTATTACAACAGAGTAGGTAACTCTGATAGCATTGGAGTTATTTCCATTTGCCCATTAGCTAAGTCACATTACATTGTTGGAGGGTTTAATAGATTTGACGTTCTTCCATGCAAGAGTGGACGCACGTACAGGCGCTAGGAGCTAGCATTAGTTAGCGGCTAACCGAACAGACAGCTAGCGGCTAGCTAGCCACCTTGCTGTCGAAACGAACAATCACGTTGTCGGGGGGGTGTCTTAAAAATGTAAAACATTCCTTACCTCCCACTCGGTACATGTTGGCCGCCATTCTCTCGTAACCTTTATCAAAAGCAGTCCCAGGGTATTCCCCGCTTGGGTGGAAAAAGGTCGATGGGGATCTATTTTATTCCTTCATTTATCGTAGACACCCCCGCCGTGAAACAAAGCCGGCTCCGGACACAACAAGCCGAGATGTGGCGGGTAAAAAGTTGAAAGTTTCCGTTAGTAATGTTCCGGAGGTTATCCCCAAAATATTCAAGTCTTTGTTGTCGGTCCCTCCGACGACCTTCCTCTCCTCTTCCTCACTCACTCACTCATTCACACACAGCTAGCCTGTCTCTTACTCCACTCTTCCTCCCATCCTCCGCTCCCAGCTTCATCCTCCTCTTCTTCACCTCCGCTCAGTTCAGCACACACACTCGCACACAGAAAACACACACTCACTGGCCCCCTTCGCTCGTGCGCACATCGTCATCTTCGGATATTGTCGTCAATCTCCGGTATCTCACAATTAACTTTAATAAACAACCTGTTTATTATATGAAATATAAACTCACACACATGGCTACAGGTGTAAAACTAAATATTATTTTTCTTAAGTGCCCAAAGAGTGATTCTCAAGTGCTCTTCAGAGACCATGAGGTTATTTAGAGAACTGGTAAAAGGTTTACATACAAACAGAGTCACATATTGCACACATGAACACAAAGTGAAGAAAGTAAAGTTGTTGCTAGACCTAGGAAGCAGGAAGTTGGGAATACACGCACGCACGCACACACACACACACAGTTGAAGTTGTTCAGAGTAATATCCTCAAAGCACCAAGGAAATAGTTGGGAACTGCATGATCACATAATCAAAGTGTTTTATCACCAGTTTCACGAGGACTGAGCTGCATGTGGAGCAAGCGAGCAGGATGCATAGTATATGTCTATGAGCTTCAAGTGTCTCAGCCACAGAGTGAATTTGTAACTCAGATTGTCTAATTGGAGACCTTTTAGATAGATTAGACATTTTATGTATGGAAGCCTGTTAGTGCTAGGGATAACAATATTCATGGCAAGTCGAAACTATGAGTTTTTGAGTTGACATTATGAGAAAGTAAGTCAATATGAGAAGAATGTGACTTTTTAATTTAAAAGAATGACACAACAAGGCAAGTTAGAGTCGTATTTACAGTAACTTAAAGTTAGTCAGTCAGTCAAAAAGAGTCAAAGTAAAAAAACTTAATCCATCTCATAAATTTAATTTGACAGTTTCAGTATTATAACTTTGTATCTCATACTGTTTACTTAAAAAGTCAAGTACTTCCAACAATAGACATACGACTACACCGATTAATTATTTAGGCAATCGACAGAAATTTAACTGACAACTATTTTAATATTTAAATAATTGTTTAGTATTTTTTTAATTGGGGTTAGTATGGTGGGATAGTGTGTAGCCTCAGCCTTCATCTCATTGGTCTGTAGAAAATCAATGCTGTATTGTATGTTTACACTGAACTGTTTGTGTCGGGTGGAATTTTTTGTTTTGTTTTTTGATCTTTGTTTATTTGTTTGTGTAATTACTTACAGACCATAATATGTTTCACTTTGGATTTCAATAAGTCTGAAGTGCTCTCTCTTTAAAAAAAAACTAAAAAAAAAAGTTTGACTTATGTTTCTATTATTGGTATTTAATATCACACAAATTAAATCAATTTCAATTACTCTCTTATAAATTTGACTCAAAGTCACAATTCTATCTTAGTATCCAATCAATTTGCCTTAACATGATTATTTTCAGTATTCTTAAATTTTCACCCATTTTTTTTTCGTGGCGTCAATGGGTTTCCATACCTAACATCTAACAAGAGCATTATACAAAAGTCTGAAGAATATAACATTTAATATTAACCAAATGTTATTTCTTTTTCTTTCCTAAACACATATTTTACAGTCACTCCTCACATGTAGGAAAGCAACTAAGGACATTTAAGCTAGTCAGTTATTACACTTAAATGCAACACTTGAGGTCTGGATTTTCATTTTGAGTGTGACACTACATTTCAGAGGGGATTTTGTTTTTTTATTGAAAAACATTGTACATAACAGTTGATTAGTTGGTAAAGTACAGTGCATTTACATATATTAAACTATGAGCAAAGTCAGGCCCACCTCACCCAGCTACACCATCAGAATGATGCTTTCATGTTAATGCATCCGTTTATCCAGCTGTATAGTACATATTCTGCATTCTGAGTACTCTCATTTTTGATACTTTACACATATTTAATTATGCCTCCCTACCAGTGGTAGCCGTGGCTGGAGGCATTATGTTTTTGGGTTGTCCGTCTGTTGGTCAGTTCTACTCTCAGTCTCCTTGAGACACCTTGAGGAAATCTCTTCAAATTTGGCACGAATGTCCACTTGAACTCAACAATAAACTGATTAGTTTTTGGTGGTCAAAGGCCAAGGTCACTGCAACCTCCTCTGTTTCATTCTGTGCATTCAGAATGGCAGAAAGGCAGAATGCCTTGATGGACTTTTTTCAAATTTGGCACAAATGTCCACTTCAGCTTGAGAATTAACTGATTAAAATTTGGTGGTCAAAGGTCACTGTGACTTTGCCTTTGTCTCATTTTGTGAACACAAAATCTCAAGAAGGCCTAAAGGGAATTTCCTCAAATTTGGCACAAACGTTCACCTGGACTGAAGAATGAACTGATTAGAATGTGGTTATCAAAGGTCAAAGGTCACTGTGACCTCAAAAACATGTTTTGCCATGACTCAAGAATTCATACGCTAATTATGACAAATTACACAAATGTCAAAAAGAATATAATGATGAAGTGATGACATTTTATAACCCAAATGTCAACTTCAGTGTGACATCATAATGTTCTGTAAAAAACACTTTTCTGGCCATTATTCAGCTTCATAACTCAGGAACAGAAAGGGAGACATTTGGTCAGATAATGAACTGGTGACTCTCATCTTGAAACTGTGCTGATTGTATAGATCTTCTGTATTGCCCAAAGGGAAGATGTGCGTGAAGCATCCATGTTTTCACAGACATGGATGTAAACTGTGACTGCAACTTGATGCGTTTGTGGAGGCATGTAACTGCAAGGTGGTAGTTCTAATGTACAGCACTTTGAAGTTTATAATTTAATTCCTGATTTTTACATTTAAGGTTTTGACACTGTGGTATTGCTACTTTACTTCAGTTTCATATTTTGGATTGTATTTATTATTTATTGTTTGTTTGCAGTATTGTTTATAGTGTAGATTGTTTTATATAGTTTACTTGTTTGTTTTTATTCTTCCTTGCACCATCAGAGGCAGCTGTTTTAATTTCGTCATACACATGTTGTATGATGACAATAAAGGTCTTTCTATTCTATTAGGTTTGAGACTACTGACTTAGTTACCTGTTATCTTCTGTGAAAAGATGTTGTTGTTTTGTTTTGTTTTTTAGCAAAGTTTGCAGTAGGCTTCATTAACTGAACTGAACTGGAAGACCAGGTTCCTTCTGTGCTTGTGGGGCTCAGAGTTTGGGAACATGCATTTACTCAACACGCAACACTGCACACAATCCCTGGAGCAGCACTGCCCACTAGTGACACTTCACACACAATACACTTTCCAGTCTTCAGTTATTTATTGGGAGCTTGACAGATACAACATCACAGTATTCCCAATGTTCTCTTAAATATATAAAAACTGTACTAAAGTAATCATTTCAAGTGTACTGATCTACTGTTAGAGAAATTAATTAGTCAGAAATGCTGAGAATTGATTTCATTGGAACAGGTTTGTCACAGTCTGATGCAAGCATAAAAACAGCTTCAATATTAGCTGAGATGTCAACTAAACACTGCTTAAAATATTAAAAACATGTAGAAACATTATGCAAACGTCTTTATAGGCCCAGTGGCATATGCCACAATGCAGCACTTTGGTAAGTTTGATAAACGAGATGGACAAAAACACAGGAATGTTCACTGAAACCAAAGTCTTTGTCACTATAGAAGTCGAGTCATGTTCTGTACCAGCAAACACAGATGACCACTTCTAATGATCCTCACCACATATTCAACAGAATGACAAAGATTCTGTGTTAAGGGAAGAATCACGCTGTCCAGTTTCACAAGGATTTACATGATTGTGAAGATGTGTAAGTGTAAATGTAATGTGGATCTCCTCCTGGAGAGGATTCCCCTACATGTTCTGTATGAAACTGAGGCAGCAGTGGCACCACAGAGGCCAGCTGAGTCCATTAACTGTGGCTGCTGTCCACTGACTAACACGCCTCTCTGGCTGTGTGTAAACACTCCCCCCTCTGTCACTGTTAATAACGCATGTCCTTCCTAGCTGGTGGCAGGTTCAGGAGAGCTGGTGGAGGTGGACGAGGCCGAGGCAGAGGCCAGTCTCTCCCTGCTGTCGCCCACACCACCTCTGATCACCCTCCACTGAAGAATGCAGGTGTCCTTCCCGCCCATGGAGAGGAGGTGGGAGTCACTGTGGGTGAAGCAGACGTTGGTGACGTGGCTGCCATGGCCCTCATACTTGTGGCTCGGTGCCTGGAGAGGAAAGAAAGAAAGAGGACACTCTTTATAAAAGCCCGAGGAGGCGTTTTCGAACTGGCAGAACTTTTTAATTTTTCTAAGAATCCTCCCCCCCCTTTTACTTTGTCCACACCACAAGACCTAGGAACAGTTGTAGTTCTTTTTTCTTTTTTTTTTAACTTAATTTTTATTTCAGTTTCATATATAATCATACATACAGTCATATTCATCATATCTGCTGTTTTCTCAAAACAAACTTTCAATATACAGTAGTACTAACATAATGACAATTGGGACACAACAAAAGCACCTACAACTGTAATAGTAGAAAACAGTGAAAAGATAATTGAATAAATAAAAATAAATAAAATGGGGAAAAAAAAAGAAAATAATTATAAATAAAATTGAGTAAATAAATTAAAAGTATCAGATTAATGACATAGATTCAATTTGGAATGTATACAGGCATTCCTCATTATCATAGTATGCCCATGACAGCGCTCCACCTTTTAGTAAATATGTCTTTTTGAAGTCTTAGGGAGTAAGTTATTTTTTCCATCTGATGTATTTCCTTTATTTTCTCAATCCACATATTGTGTGTTGGAGGATTAGGCTTTAACCACCTAACTGTGATGCATTTAATTGCTGTTGTCAGTTGTATTTGTAGAAGATATTTTTTGGCTCTTCTTTTGATGGCTTTCGGTAGTAGACCCAATAGAGCCACTGTAGGGTCCATTGTAATGTTACTTCAAAATACTTCTTTAAGCGTTCCAAACACTTCTTCCCAGAATGTTTTTAATTTTGGGCATAACCAAAATATGTGGGTTTGGTTGCCAATGTGTGGGCCACAATTTCTCCAG